AGCGGCAAAGGAAGACCTTTCTCTCTGTCTCTCTCTCTCTCACTGTCCACTCTGCCTGTCAAAAAAAAAAAAAAAAAAAAACCAGAGAGGAGAGCATGAGAAATGGATGAGTGGATGACTGATGAAATAGTATAAGCTTTGTCAGAGCCTGGGCTTTTTATTTTTAAAGATGTACCTATATTTTATTTGAAAAGCAAAGTGACAGAGGGAAAGACAGGAGAGAGAGAGAGAGAGAGAGAGAGAGAGAGAGAGAGAGAGATTTTCCATTGCTGGTTCATTCCTCAAAAGCCCATAACACCAGGGGGCTGGGCCAGGCCAAAGCTAAGAGCCTAGAACTCCATCCGGGTTTTCCCATGTGAGTGGCAGGGACCCAAGCATTGGGCCATCTTCCATTGGTTTCTGAGGCACATTAACAGAGAGCTGGATCAGAAGCAGAGCAGCTGGGACTCTAGCCAGCACTGTAACACAGGATGCTGGCAGTGCAACCAGTGGTTTAATCCACTGCACAACAACACAGGTCCCAGAACCAGCACTTGTAGCTATCATGTTCACTGCCATGACCCCAGGACCTAGAAGCCTGATACACAGTAGATCTCAGTAAATACTGCGTGTGAATGGGCAAATGCCTGTTTGAGTGAATTAATAAGGACATGCACAGGGAATATCCCACCTTGGCAGAACGTGACAGCATCACAGGTTCATTTCCAAGGGACAGGTGGGATCTTCCTCATCCTTCCCAGTCTCATCCCCAACCCTGAGCATTTCCACTTCCCGGGGGAGGGCAGGAAAAACTGACAGGAATTCTGGTTACCTCTTAGGTTCTTGATGAAGTCATCTAATTTCATCTTGCGTTCAGCCTTGACACTGGGACTGTACATGTCAGTATTGAGAAGGATGATGGCAAAAGCAAGGATGAAGATGGTGTCTGGGTTCCGGAACTGGCGGACGAGGGCTGGGTTACAGACACAGTACCGCTGGCTGCAGGGCAAAAAGAGTTAAAGCCGGATTCAGGCACTAAACTCGACCCACCCACCACCCTGCCAGTTTGACACCAAGCCCCACCACTCTCCTCCAAGAACTCTTCCCTAGTCACTATAGGTCTGTCCTTTTCAGATTCCCTAAGACTAGCAGGTTAAAAAGCAAAACCAAAAACCAAAAAAAAAAAAAAAAAAAACACAACTTCTAACTTTTATGGAGCTTTGCCGGGGGATTTCTATGCATTGTCTAACGTCATTTTATCACAATTCTGGCAAGATAGCTATTCACAGTCCCATTTTACAGATGAAATGACTGGGGCTCAAAGTGGTGAGGTAACTTGCCCAAGGTGCCAGAGCTGGTAGATGTGGGAGATGGTGAAGCCAGCATGAAAACCAAGATCTTTCTGATGGCAAAGCAAATCCTTCTCCCATCACGGGAAGTACGTTCTCAGCAGCTCCTCTTTTTCTCCTCCAAAGACCCCAGAGGGGTGGAGGGCCAGGGTTCGGACCCAGTTCTATGTGATTGCCCAAAGTATTTATAGCAGATGTAACGGTTAAGGGCAGGGACGGATCATGGAGTCAGACACACACAAGGTCCAATCTGGTTCCACCGCTTACTCACCCTATGATCCTGGGAAAGGCACTTAACCTCTCTGAACTTCAGAGTTCTCATTTGCAGAATAGGAATAATCCTGGAAGCGCCTACCTCACAGTGGTGCTGTGTGGGGCACCTGCTATGAACTACCTCTGACCCTCACAACTGCCTTGCGAGATAGCACATGACATTTCTCTTTTTTGGAGAGGCAAGTATGATGCTCAGAGTAGTGACTCGTCAGCACATGCTCCGCCAGTCCCCCCACAGCAAAGGGGGGGGGAGCAGCCTCAGGAGTAGGAAGCAGGCACACCTGAAGGCTTCGATGAGGCGCTCCACTTTCTGGGCTTCGCCCTGAACCCGGATATGGGATTGGAACTTGCGGAGTGCATCATCCAGATCCATGGAGGAGAAGTCCATCTCATCTACCACACAGCTGAAGAGCAGAGAGGGGTGGGGCACTTTCAATTCCTCTGCAGAAAACCTCCGACCCACCCACATTTGCTCAGAGAGGGACCGGCACCCCCTGCCGAGAGCCTGCCCATGCTGTCATCTATGGCCCTGGGCAAGCGTGTGGGATGACAGAATGTCTGCAATGGAATCCACCTCCCTCCCCCCAACCAGGAAATTGCAGCAAGACACACAGGGTCTCTTCCATCAGTCCAGTCATTTCAGAGAGGGAAAAATGGAGCCCTCCCGCCCTCCCCAACAGGCCATAGATCAGACCAAGGGTATGGGAGCAGGATGGCCTATTCATCCTATTTTGAGAAGTTTATCTGGGCAAAAGGGACAGGCTGCCCCCATCCTCCCTCCCGCTCTCCCTCTCCTTTTCCAGGAACCCCTGGCCCGTCTGCCCAGCCCTGGGGGTCCTCACTCCAACACATCTCTGTTGAACTGCTTCTGCCGGTTCCCTAGGAATTCCCCTATCATCTGCCGGCTCAGGCCTTTCCGCTCCAGGATGAAATGGGCCACTCCAACCGGTGTATCTGACAGGAAGCCCCGCTCGATGAGATACTGGATACCCTTCTCTGGCTTCCTGCAGAAAGAGGGGAGGGAGATGACAAGACAGCCCTACTGGAACTGTGTGCCCTCTGTCCCATTTCTTACAGTCAACAAACCCAGGGCCTCAAAGAACCAAGGGAAGTTGAATCTATGATCGGGTCCAATCTTTTCACGGTACAGATGAGAGAATGGAGGCCCAGGGAGAGGAATCCACTTGCTCATTTCACAGAGCTTCAAAATTCCAAGGCATCCTCAACCCAGCTTCTTCCTTCACTGCAGCCATACTAGTTGGGAGACAATTGGTATCAACGACAGCCTGTTCTGTGCCAGGAGCTTTGATGTTCCCAGCAGACACCAAGCAGTCCCAAGAGAAGGTGGGAGCCCCAGGCTCAGGCCTACTCTTCAACTCACAGACCCCCAGAGCAGAGATGAAGTGAACAGGTGCCTGTTGCATGTCCCACATCCCACCTAGGCAGGTATCACTCAGCCTCTTTGAGTGTTCCTTTTCTCCTCCTCCTCCTCTTCTTCTTCTTCTTTTTTTTTATTATTGGGGGGTGGTGGTGCTGTGGTAAAGGGGGGGTAAAGCCACTGCCTAGAGTGCCAGCATCCCATATGGGTGCTGGTTCGAGTCCCGGCTGTTCCACTTCCAATCCAGTTGCCTGCAAATGCATCTGGGAAAGCAGTGGCAGATGGCCCAAGTCCTTGGGTCCCTGCACCCACGTGGGAGACCCGGAAGAAGCTCTTAGTTCTTGGCTTCAGCCTGGCTCAGGCCTGGCTGTTGTGGCCATTTGGGGAATGAACTAGCAGATGGAAGATCGATCTCTCTCTCTCTCTCTCTCTCTCTCCCTCTCCCTCTCCCTCTTCCCCTCTCCCTGTAATTCTGACTTTCAAATAAATAAATAAATCTTTAAAAAATTGATTTGAGAGACAGAGAAAGACAAAAAGTTCCCATCTGCTGGTTCACTCCCCAAATGCCCTCAACAGCCAAGGCTGGGCCAAGGATGAAGCTGAAAGCCAGGAACTCAATCCAGGCTTCCCATGTGGGCGGCAGGAGCACAATTACTCGGGTCATCGCCTGCTGCCTTCCAGGTGTGCATTAGCAGGAAGCTGGAGTCAGGGGCCAGAGGCAGGACTTGAACCCAGGTGCTCCAATATGGAAGGCAGGCGTCTTGTATGTTGGGCACTAGGGCAAATGCTCGCCCTCGACTGTGAATGTTTTTGCAGACAAGCTGCTCCTTAGATTTTCAGAGAGCAAGGCCATAATCTGGGTGGGAGTTGTTCTGCACTTACTCAGAACGTCAGGACCTTAGGGCCACATGAGGCTAAAATTTGAAAGCAAATCTGGCGCTTGAGGCAGCCCCGATCCATCACTTCCCAGCTGTGGGATTTTAGACAATTTACTTCTCCAAGCCTCAGTGCCTTATCTATGAAATCGGGCCACATTACCTACCTTGCTGAGTTATTGTGAGAATTAAATATAGGTGGCAGTGTTTAATAAGCTATAACGATGTAAGGCATTAAGGAATTACATCTAATGCCTTGCACTACAGCTAATGTTTTCTAATTACATTTAATGTTTTCTAATTATTTTCTAATCAAATGTCACCCTCCCACCCTACTCCTAAGCACCTGGCACAATACCAGGCACCCGGAAAGAGCTCGGTGGCAGTCACTGAGTAGTCTGGCAACCACCCCGCCTCCCCACATTGCAAACATACACACCCTTCGAGCACAGAGATGGAAAACCTTAAGTCCAAGGAAGGAACACACGTTGCCCCAGGCCACGCGGTAAGTGGCCAAAGACGGACCAGGGGGCAAGGTCTCCCACCTGCCAGACTAAGGTTCTTTACACACCATATGGTCTCCCCTCTAATAAGTGGCAGTTGGGGGCAGTCGAGGCTCAGAGCATCTTGCCCAAGGTCACACCGCTAGTCAGGTGCGCTAGAGAGAAACCGCAGCCTACAAAGCCCAGGATCGCTGCTGGGAGAGCTGCTACAGAGAACAAAGTGCCCAGGGCTGAGGAGGCCAAGACAGGGAGCACGTACTTATTGAAGAGGTTGAGGCCGATTCTGTAGTGCCGCCTTTGCACCACGTCGTTGTTGAAGGCTGGGGAGTCCCAGCTGTGCCTGGTCTCCCGCTGGTATGTCTGCTTGCACAGGCCAGTGGCTGGGGGCTCCCTCAGGCTGTCCCGAGAAGAGGAGCCGGAGCTGCAGTTGATGGTCTCATTGGAATTGCTGGAGCTCTCCAGGCTCTCATTGTCTCCTCCATCAGAGTTCTCGCCTGCTGCCTCGCATTTCCCCAGCCTCCGACCCCCAGCCACACCACTGGGCCCGGTGCCACTGTTGGGGGCTGGGGGCAGGGGACCTGGTGGGGCTGGAGCTGGGCCCTCAGGGGCTGGGTAGTGGCGGTGTGGGATGGGGGCCCTGCCTGGTGGCCCCTTGTGCTTGAGGGTCCCATGGGGGCTGCAGCCATCAGCCTCGTACACCAGCTGGCGGTGGACAGAGCCGCGATCCGAGCGGTCACTCAGGTCCACGGAGCTGTCACTAGGAGGCTCAATGGTGAGCAGGGGAAGGTGGGCAGCCCGCAGCCGGAAATCCCGGCATTCCAGGCACCCGGGACCCCTGCGAGTGCCTTCCTCACGGCTCCCATCTTCCCGGGTCCCTGGTGGCACTGGTGGTGGAACTGGTGGGAGAGGAGCTGGTGCCCAGAACTCGGGTCGGCCCTGGGGTGGGGGCTCTGCACTGGGCAGTCGTTCAGGGGACTGTGGGGGCACTGGGTCATCCAGGTAGAGGGGAAGGTCACTGAAGGATGTGGCTGAGCTGTCCTCCTGCTGTTCTTTTGACTCCCGCTTCTCCAGCTGGGCTGACCCCGGCTCCTCAGACATGGGCCCTGAAGGGTGGCAGTTTAGGGCCTCATCGATGGATTCAGCCAGAGACTTGACCTGCACAAGGTGGGGTTGGGGGCGGGGAAGGAGAAGAGGGAAAAGGAAAGAAAGAGAGGAGAGAAGAAGGGAAGAATGATGGAGGGGTGGGAGTGGGGGAGGGAAGGAAGGAAGAGGAGGGAGTGTTCCTGGTGGGTCAGCCAAGGTGAGTTCCCCTGCCTCTTCCCGAGGGGTCTATGTACTAACTTCCGGCAAGTCACGGTGAGCTCACAGCACCTGGGACTCACAGTGCCCACGAGTTCCCTTGCCAAACACTCAACCTGTCCTTTATGTCCCTATAGACCTAAGCCAAACTCTACCTTCTGTCTGTTTCGAGTCACATTCCTTTGCCTCTGCTGTCATTTTGCAACCCCCACCCTCACCAGCCATCTCCCCACCCCGTCCTGGCCAGGGCAAACCAAAACTCCAGCTTCCTTTGGGCTGCCAGAGCCATCTGAGTGATGCAGTCTTAGGAAATCCATCATATTTGCCTGTTAGAATCTGGACCACACTCCACCTCCCCGTGGTATGCAGCCTCTACCTGCAGTCTATATGATCCCCCAACTCCTGGTAGTCAGACCCCCAGGCTCCACATTGTAGCAGCCCATGGC